ATACAATGGAATATTACTCAGCCATCAGAAAGGATGAATACCCAACTTTTACATCAACATGGATGGGACTGGAGGAGATTATGCTAAGTAAAATAGTCAAGTAGAGAAAGTCAATTATCATATGGTTTCACTTATTTGTGGAACATAAGGAATAGCATGGAGGACAGTAGGAGAAGGAAGGGAAAAATGAAAGGGGGGAAATTGGAGGGGGACATGAACCATGAGAGACTATGGACTCCGAGAAACAAACTGAGGGTTTTAGAGGGGAGAGGGGTGGGGGGATGGGTTAGCCTGGTGATGGGTATTAAGGAGGGCACGTACTGCATGGACCACCGGGTGTTATACACAAACAATGAATCATGGAACACTATGTCAAAAACTAATGATGTATTGTATGGTGACTAACATAACATAATAAAATAAAATAATATTAAAAAAGTAGCCATCCAGCACATGTTCACATCTATTTTCTTTAAGGAAGGGGGAGATTTCAGCTGTCTTTATAGCTACTGATATTTTAGTAAATGAAAAAATAAAATGTATGTATAAACTAATACAAATTACAAATACACAACTAAATATCACCTTCAACTTTTTTCTGAACTATATCCCAGTGTATCTATGAGAAGTTTTATTTTTTGTGGAAAACCTTATCATCTGTACCAATCAATAGACAGTGACAGCTCTGTCATGCTTTCAACAATAAAATTAGTAAGTCAGTGGTCCTATAAATATATCAACCAGGGGAAAGTGACTGTTCAAAAAAAAAGCTTGGCAAACATGAAGTAAAAGTTAAAATTTTCATAATCTAACACTAAAAAGGTATTTCATTTTCTCATAAATGCATATAATATCTTTCTAGGATAACATATTTTTCTCCCACCTTAACATATACACTGTAAAATATACATAGTCCATATGCAGTGAAAACTCTAAAATAGTTAGTCACCTGTTAAACTAAGCTTACACAAATTAGGAAAAAATGATATTGAAATAATGTATGAAGTAAGATTTAGTTGATTAAAGCAGTGAAAGTTATAAATGCCTATCATTCTTTGCTAGTTTTAGAAAAAGAGAACAACAACCTGTGCAATGCACATCTCTCCTCCACTTCTAGAAAAACCTTTAAGAAAGTCCACATTGTCTACCATACATTAATTTTTGTGTGAGTGATCTTTTTTCATGGGGGAAGGGGATGTGAACTTAATAACCAGATCAATGTACTACAGTGTAGAGACAGCATTTGAGGATATGGGAGTTCCGGCGCAGAGAGGGGCATTAAAAGATTAAATTTTGGGGAAATCTAGGCAAGAGAACTGTAGGTTGGGGTTGCTACTATCTCCATCTCTCAGAGACAGGAAGATCTCAGCTATCCCTGGATAATACATATTTTGAAATTATTCTTTTTTAATCAATTTCTCATATGTAATATTTTTGACCATTTTTCTATCTTGGCTGGCAGTATTGCTGAGTCAACCTTCTTCCTTTCTGTTTCTTGAGTAGATTGGGGCAATGAGGCGTCAATATGAGTCTCCCCTTCCCTGTAAGTGCAGATTCTTAGATAGGCAGAAGTGGGGAATCAGAGCACAGAGGGACAATCTGGCATGTGCCAGCTGAATTTGAGGTAGAAGGGTATTAACAGTTCATCCTTGAATGAAGAGACCCACAGAGAAAGGCACCCATATTAGATCACCTCCAAGGTAGCAAGTAAAGAAAAAAGACAGATAAAAAGAGTAAGGGACAAAGAAAGTGCCTGTAGGAAAGGTACCCTGAATGACAACAGAGGAGAGATCCTGCCCCAGAGCTTGTGAGCACCCAGTGGGTTATCCATCCAGAGCACCTGGTTGGCTGGGAGAGTAGGGGAAGGAAGAGGGGAAACAAATATTTTTTTCTGTCCCATCCTCACATTAGGGATCTGCTTAATTTAAGCAGCCCTGAATCGATGACCTTTGCAAGAATTTCTAAGTTTACTTTAATGCTTTCAGAAGGCTAAAAACTATAGCTTCAGATGCTTGAGTTTGGCTTTGTTTTGCATCAGATTTGGTCTGTGTCCTTGGGAATAACGGTATGCTCACTGGAATCATCAGACTACTTAAATTAATCCTGACAGAATTCAAATCCTGAGAGAAATATAGTTGAGACAATTTAAAAAGTCACTTCTAGTTTTTACTTATATTTAAATATAATTTCTTAAGAATGCCTTGCTTTTTATCCTATTGTCAGATCTCTAAGATTCTAAGGTCTGCTTCATGAGAAGCTAACAGGTTTCCCTGTCCTTTAGGAAAGGGGAGAAGGGCACAGAAAGGAGAACAATTCTTCCTGTTTTCTCTGGTTGCCAGCAGAAGTGCCCAGGAACACATCCAAAATATTAGAGCAGAGAAGGTGCCTCACATTAAGAAGAATGGCTCACAACTACCATGAAATGAATGTATGTATTTTATTCTATACTTAAATATTTTTATTAAAATGGTCTTCCCTTCCAGTTGCTTTCAAGTTGAATAGAAAAAGATACTCCTTATGCCAAAGATATAGCAAAAGCCCATTTTAAAGTACCTCAAATTTACACAGATTTACTTATACTGTGGATTAAATGGTGTGCCTTAAATGTACATACACTTACATGTGTATTTGAACATATCTACTTTCCACTATAAAATAGAAACCATCCAGTCAAAGGAATCCACATTTGATATCTATTTTTAAATCAGATTTCTAATGAAAGCATGGTTTGCTGATGAAAAGTTTCAATATTAGAATACAGACACAGATAATTGAATTGATTTATGACTAAACCAAACAATGGAAATGAGTCCAGTTCACCTATTCTCATTAACCTGAGAATCCAGTCTATTTATTAGTTGTAATGTGTGATTTAAAGTTTAAAAAGAGTAAAAAAGATACTGAAGGAGTTAGTATAATGAAATATTCTCTTTGAAATTTGAAAATCTCGTTGCATTCCTAATTAATTTTCCCTGTGAGCTAGGGCTACAACTTAAAAGTCTTCTCAAGGGAATTTTTAAAAACTACCAAATGATAATCTTAAAATTGTTTCAAAAGGCAATTATATAAAGTCTTCAGTTGATTTATACTATATCGCCATTAGGAAAATAAAATTTAAAACTACCCTACTTTCCACACTTTGAGAAAATTTGTTTAAAAAATACAAATATTCAATTTTAAACAAATAGTATATACTGTTTCATTTATATAAATATAAAAGTAAATAATTATATATCTTTTAGGTTCTGAAACAAAAATGGCCATAACTAAAAACAAGTGCAAGAAGAATAAAGGTTTGATGTTACTGTACCTACCTTTAATGTGATACTATAATGTCCAACAAATGTTGCATTTATCCATGATCTTGAATGGGGATCACCCAGGAATTCTATGTGATATTGTTCAACATTTCCATCCAGGTCGTAGATCACGTATTTCCCTTTAAAAGGATCTGGGCAAAGTATCCCCGGCCAACTTCCAAAAGAAAGTATTTTTAATTATTTTGATGCTTTAAAAAAGGCACAAATCAATACACCCGTCATAATCATATACCAAACTTTCTCCTTTGAATTTTAATAACTCAAAAAACTTAAACATATTCATACTTGTATCCTTTAAAAGTAGGATATTCATTTGATACAACTAATCAGTTGTATCTTTGTAAATACAGAAAGCTTTGGAAAAGTCACATATTTAAGATAAACATAAAACCTAAGGAGAAAGAATTATAAGACAAAAGAATGATCTCTAGGATCTGGAAGAGATATTTAGACACTGCTAATAGGAAAGATAAGATTCATGGCAGGTTTGAATCAACTCTAACCAATAAGAATGCTTATTACTTGGCAGCAGAGACGGAGCCGAGGCGCGGGCTCTCAGCTCGGGGTGGCCATAAACTGTGATCTGTGGCCCAGTCGGGCCACTGCTCCTCCAGCAGGGACCCAACAAGAAGCAGAGCAGGGGAGACTCCCCTTCCACCCCTGGGAGGAGCAGCGCGGGAGCGCACCGCAGGGATCTGCTGGGTTTGGAGACTCCACATGGGGTCAGGTGCCAGAGATAGAAACACTTGGTCACAGGCCAGGAGAGCACGACCGGGGAGATGGGAGTGATTGACTGCTTTTCTCTAGGGGCGCACTGAGGAGCAGGGCCCGAGTTCTCGGCTCCTCCAGGCGGAGATTGGGAGGCCACCATTTTCACTCTCATCCTCCAAAGCTGTACCGAGAGCTTGGAGGGAACAAAAGCTCCCGAAAGCAAACCCAAGCAGATTGCTTAGCCCGGATTCACAAGGGCGGGGCAATTCCGCCTCCGGCAAAGACATTTGGGAACCACGGCAACAGGCCCCTCCCCCAGAAGATCAGCGCGAACAGCCAGCGAAGACCAAGTTTACTGATCAAGGAGAACGGGAGAACTCCAGCGCTAGGGGAATACTGCACATAGAATTCATGGCTTTTTTTACCATGATTCATTAGTTTTTCAAAGTTAATTTTTTTAACTGTTTTTTTTTTTAATTTTTCTTTTTCCCTTTTTCAAACATCTTATGAATCCCTTTTAAAAATTTTTTTTATTTTTCATTTTTAGAGTCATATTCTATCCCTTCATAGTAGTTACACTTATTTTTGGCATATATATATAAGTTGTTCTACAGTTTCTTCTAACAGATCAAAATATACCCTAAATCTCTAGTGTATGGCTTTGTTCTAGTCTCCTACCTGATCACATTCTCTCCCTTTTTTTATTTTTTAAATCTTCTTCTTTCTTTTTTCAAACAACTTCTTATCAATTCCTTTTATAAAATCTTTTATAATTTTCATCTTTACAGTCATCTTCCATCCCTTCATTGTATCAACCCTTATTTTGTACATATATGTCTCTCTTTCTTTACAATTTTAGGAGGCACTATCTTCTAACAGACCAAAATACACCCAGAATCTAGTGTGTGGCACTGATCTAAGCACTAGCCAGATCATATGTGATCATATTCTGTTTTTTTGTTTTGTTTTGTTCTGTTTTTGTTTGTTTTTATCTTTTTCTTCTTTTTTTTCTCTTTCTTTTTTCTTTCTTTCCCTTTCTTTTCCCCTGGTTTCAGATCTTTTCTGATTTGTTTAGAGTATATTTTCTGGGGACG